CCTCCAATGCTGCACTCATAAGGTTGCATTCATAGTTCGGTAAAACAGAGCACTGCACGGCTCTCACTGATTGGCAATTGATTCACATCATAATGTTACATATGTAGATTATAACAGGAGCCTGACAGACACACTTTCTTGATATATAAGAACTACGTACAAAATTACATTTGTAAAACATATGCAAGCTGTATAATAATACAAGGTCTTCAAAAACAGTTGTAGTCTAATTAACCAGTTCATACACTGGGTCTTCGTGTGTGCCACCCTTACACACTGAATATGCTTCATTGGGATGCACAGGAACTTGAACTCTCACATTTTTATGTCCGGGTACATCGTACATGCCATATGCTTTGTTGCGCTCCATAATCTCCATCCCATCCTCAGAAATTTGCTGTGATAGTTCCATCGGTGGACCCGGCACATCAGGTTCTGAAAAATAATGTGAGGTTATTTCTTCAGCTTTACGCTCGTGTAAAAACCAATAATGTGACAATTACTTTTTATACCAGAAGAGGATATCTGTTCTATATTATTTCTTTTTTTCAGCTTTGTCCTGCAAAAAATTGTACATGAACCGAGTTGCTCTCAGAAAAAACTTTTAGGCACATGAGGTGAATAGTGTCTTCCTATTTCAACAGTGTTATGGTACCTACCAAGTGGGTTACTCAAGACCAATTCATCATGTGGTCGTTGAAATTAATCACCATGCACACACCACAGAGGATTAATAATCATTTCTTCAAAATGAAGGGGGATAGAGGAATTGGTCCGACTGCCAGCAAAAGGGGTGGTTACACAGCAAAGATGCTTTTCAATTGTCTCCAGTCCTTTTTAAGTGTCTTTTGTAACCACTTAAATTCTGAACATAAAACATACATACCAGCAGATATAGGCACATTGAGCAGTCACAATGAGACCAAGAGTGAGAGTGACGGCCACAACTGCACCAGCAATGACACCTGCTTCATTAGAGTTGGACCCAGAGTTGGAGTCAGGTGACGGCTCTCTCAGAGATACTGTCACTGGAGATGAAAAATCCCCTCCTCCAACTGACGTCACTGCCTGCACCTGTGAGCATGACACAACACAACCAAGTGTAAACATGACTGACTGATACATACATGTAAGCTTATTCATCAAAACAGGTCACAGGGCATTGATAATGCAGGACCCTGTACCTTCCCTTACAGTAACATTGTAGTCCATGTTGATCTCCCCATAGTTGGAGACATCAATACTCAAGACGTCCAACTCCTCAATTCTGGTGACCAGTTGCCCAGAGTCAGCTGTGGATATGATGACATTGTAGTAGAGAATGACTCCATTGGGAGGAACTGGAGAAGACCAGCTCAGCACTCCATTCCCTCCCACCACAACTCTGTCACTGTCCCTCCAACTGCATGGGGTGTGTACATAGTAATTGTGTTTATTCATTCACAAAAAACAATCCAAGTGAGGTAGAGAATGTAGCTTTTAACATCATACTGAACAGTTCAGCAGGTCAAAAGCACACAATAACACACATCTTGGAAAAACAACCAACAGAAAATGCTAACACACGGAACGAAGAATGGATAACAGCATAAGTACTGCTCAATAATGAAAAGCACTAAAGTGCAAACCCTCGGCGAACTGCGCATGCGCGGTAGCACTAATTGATAGGATGGGCTTTGTATGTCTTTACTCGTGCATCCCGCTAGTAGCTCGCGGGGAGTCTGACACGGGCTAGGTATAATAGTAGATAGCATGCGGGAGTCGATACATGCCCTTCGTTGTGACTTCTTGTTCCTTCAAGATACACAGAGCGAGTGGACGCGGTCGAGGTAAGCCTGCACTAATTTGCATATTAGCTTGTTCACTTGCTTTTCAAGCCATAACTTTTGAACGAAGTATTTTTACGAAAATCACCTTTTTAAAACTCAACCCAGCGTAGCACTGAACCCGATCATATAACTATTTACCTGATTTCGTGCGCGCGGTGGCAGAAAACGTGGTAACAGACACACTGACTGACAAACTGACTGATAGACTGACACACTTAGCTACGGAACAACTATCGTAACCCTCGCTGCATGCGCGCCGATGGTTAATTATAGCCAGGAGTATGACCACTATGAGCAGCAATTCCCAAGGGACTTCAACCTTAGTGGTTCAGCCTTTATCGTACAGATTGTGATAACTGTAGGTTTCCCAAGGATATTCCTAGCTGTGCAAAATGCATAGGAAAGGTTTTATATAGGCACTCCCTCCACCTATGTGGCTTACAATAATACTGACCTCCTTCCTGAGTGTTGGCCGTGGTACTGAGACTCCTGGCATTGATATTGTTGTCCTGAGAGGAGACATCATTCTCAGCAGATACAGAGAATGTGTAGAGGACACCAGGAGTCAGTCCAGTCACAATGGTCTCTGTATCATTCACCTCACTCACCAGCACTCTCTCTCCACCACTTCCTCCTCTGTCTAAGTACGAATCATAAGTGAAGTACGAAAGAAAAAAATTCAGCAACCTTTTCCAAGGAAAAAGGTGGGCGTCAAACCCACAACACTAAATTGCAGCCTAGGCAGAGTGCTTTAACCTGAAGTATATACCAGGGTAGTTAAACTGGCAAGGTTCCAATCTTGCAGAACAGGCACAAACTGCTTTGTCATTAGAGATCTTGCTTTTATTGTCTCCCCATGCAATGGCAAAAATTAAATGTACCAGTGGCAGAGATGGTGTAGACTATCTCATAGAGAGGTCTCCCTCCATCATTATTAGGAGGAGACCAGGAGAGGACGGCTGATGTGTTGGTCACATTTGACACTCTGAGATCAGATGGAGGCCCTGGACACTCTGTAAAACATCATTATACAGTAGTATCCATGTCAACAGACTTACAAGAGGATGCTGGGATGACTAAGTCCAAATGTAGCTATAGCTAAATATGCTGTCGGAAAGGACGTAAATTACTTAGTATATCAAAGCGGTTCTCCCCTTACATGTATATTATAATGTATGTATATGTACTCTTTAGAGTATTCCTTTACCACTCTTGCCACCAAACCAGTAGTAGGACATGTATACGCAGTCATTATGCTAACAGTCTAGCTACAACATTGGACGTAGCAAATACTTTACTAGCGAC